GGAAAAATTTTGTGGGGGGGGGGGGGGCACGATTTTCGCTTGGAATGCTTGCATGTAAACAAACCCTTAACCTTTCGGGGGGGTCGGGGCCCAAAACCCTGTAGTGCCCCCCCCCCCCCCCACACACACACATACACACACGTCATCGAGTACGTTTTATTTATGCTGCACTGTCACAATTTGTGTGACTGCGCAAATTACTACTCTTAAATTATACAGTACTTGCATGCAGCAAACCTGCGTGAATGTAAACGACACACCTTTGCAAGGCTGGCGCGACACGTTCTGTAATGCTGTTTCGTTTATCTTGTGACTGTCTTTGATTACTGTTATTGTATTATATTAACAAAACAAGTGGACCATTCCCTGTCACCGACCCAGATTTATTATTCTTCCAGACCAGTCCCAAGTATATCAAGAACAAAAAAGTTTAATATCTCAGGAAATATGTTGAAGTGATTAATCTGTGTGGAATACTTTAAACTGGCTCTTCAAAAGACGCAAAATACTCTTTAAAGTGAAAAAATACACTTCTATGATAGCAAACAATTAAGTGTTAACACAGTTTCAACCGCACCGGGCGTCTTTAAAGTGTCAACCTTGTGATTGCCAAGGTCGATTAAAGGTGATATCGTTAACTTAACCCGTGGCTCTTCCTATATAGATTTAACGTCCCTGACTGATATTGTTGACGACAAACAGACAAGCACGGCGCTGCTAAATAAGATTACATTGTTTGCTCTCGATGTTTGTTATGAACAAATCTCAGGACACCCGCCATGCCACTCCCCGTTCACTCCGTGGCCCTTCTTATTGTGTATTGAGTTAACTTTTTGTTTCCTTCGATCATTTTATTGTCAAACTTGAAAAAGTAATTTATGATACTACAATTTTTCCTTCTTCAGAATTAAAAATGTAATATCTCCTCCGTCCCAATAAAACTCAATCATGGCTGAATATAACAGTACAGTGTTGTGGTTAATATTTAGACTGGAACAGTCCGCTTTATTGGTTAGTTTAGCTCTATTGATTACAGAGTTAAAAGCAAGCACTGTATGCACGTAAAAATTATATCACTCTACAATAACGTTTAAGTTATTAAAACAACCGTTAGACTCTATGGGGTTAAAAAAGTGATTTTTTATTTCCAAAAAAAAAAAAAAAAAAAAAAAAAAAAAATATCACGCCAAGGACGAAACTGGGTGGCACGCTTGACAAGTAGTCATCAACAGATAAGGGGAGATGTCACCTAGAGTAGTTTGAAATGGACTACCCATCTTTCCCTAAGCTCTTGCAGCCAGTACCGTCAGACGCTTTTTATTGTTTATTCAATTGATTAGCAATTAGTTTTGCATGCGAGAGATAATGCCTTTTTCAAATTGTTTAAAATGTGTCAATAATTTTTGATTGATGTTGAATCTTATGTAAGAATTTTACTACCGAGTATACCGTAATGAAACGAGAACGTTTTCAGGGGCTGATAAGCGACCCCGTATAGTGCCAATAAACACATTTTCACCGTAGTTTCCGCCATATCTGGTTTAGGTCAACACAAGATAAGACGAAAACAATACTATTGCCAGGCAACGCATTGGGTAGGAGGGGGGGGGGGAAACGGAGGAGAGGGGAGGTACAAAATTGATCCGGGCTTTTACTTCCTTCCATCCCGCCCATTCTAGATATTCGACATGAATTTATCGTCAGCCAAGTGTCCTCTCCTGCTTATTTCAATTCCTTTGTGTGCACATTTTTTCTAACACTCGGTGCTTGGCGTTCGAGTGGTACATGTTTTCATTGAAATGCGTCCCAGTATATGTTTGAAGATATGGTGCAGTTTTGAAAATATCCATGTGCTGTATATGGGACTTGTTGGTAATCATTATGTCAATTTCAGCCTTGGTGAAAAATAAACCCGTGTCTAAAGAAATATATATATAAAAAGACTGAAAACTATTTATTTATTTTACCATCCCAGGCAATGACAGTTAAATACCTATTTCACTGTATATGGCACTTCTTTTCTTTATCAGAGCCCATGTAGTTGAGCTATAGGAGCTTGTCGTTTTTATGAAGCAAGGGAGAGGGAGGATGTTTTAGTTGGAAAAAGATGGGGTAATTTTCCTTCGAAGTGATGGACCAACTTTAAGTATATGAATTTTGGAAAAAAAGTGGGTGTATCCTACGGGATATGTTTGATTTTTCGTTTTAGAAGAATACCCACCCCGTGTACACCACTGCTTTGTGTAAACATCAAGTTGATAAACCGAGATGCTTTATTTCACCATAAACTTTATGTTGTCTGCAAAAAACAATCAGTTATTTTGTTAAAAACTAAGTTATCAACTGGTATCAATGTTTGCAAGAGTCACAGTGTCTTCATGCAGCTTAGAAAAACATTTTTGTCCATATAATTTGATCGATTATCGCTTTAATTAAATCAAGAGTTTTCAATGCCAATCATTATTTTAATTTAAGTTTTATATATAATCACTGTGTATATAGTAGGCCTATTCAGACTTGACGGTGAATCACTTTTCAATTTCGCAGAACTTGTTGAAAAATTCAATATGTACCTTAATACATTTCAAAATACTGGATTATGTTGCGACCACTAAATAAACGTGGAGTTTACGTTGTTTTATATTCTCTGTGACGTGCCATTCTTTAAAATAAAACACTCTTCACACTTCATGAATGAAATACTTAACATCTACACCTTTGATCATTTCTCCATTCCAGAAACATGCTCCCGGATAATCTGGTGGAGTCTTGCTTTAGGCAGGTCAGTCAATTAATAATTTATTTTATCTAAAACAATTTAAATATTGTAGGAGAATATCTTTGGATAAGGCAAATATTTGTATAATCAAATTGTGAAAAAAAAAGTCAGCTTCATATTTTGTCTTTGGAGAAGACGAGAAAATTCAAAGGAAATTGCAACAAGGTTATTATTATTATTATTATTATTATTATTATTATTATTATTATTATTATTTAATAAAAAAAATGTTGTTAAAATGTACTCTACTAAAAAGCTGAATCACTGCCGTTTGATTTCAAGACGAAAACAGCGTCTGGCGTCGACAGCCTTACGTGGTCAGAAGTGACCATCAACATGACTACTGACCAGTCACAGTACACCTCACTGACCACTGCCATGGATAAGATGGACAAGGAATCCGCAGAGCTCGGTATGAACATCACCGGTGTCATGAACAGGACTGATCCAGCTGACGTCAACAATACAAGTAAGTACTATTTTTCCCAAAACACAAGATCGTTTACCTGCAGCAGAGTAGGTCGATTAATAGAGATTTCATCTTCTTCTGCTGACTTTTTTGCAAATGAGCAATTTCCGCAGCAGGATATTTGAGGTCCAGACCTCGTGCTTGCTCTGTCTGTGGACAGAGATCTTGTCCACAGACAGATCAAGTATGTCCAATAGCAAATACACTAAAGATATCTCTATTATCAGACTAAAGCAGAAGTGGAACCAAGGTTTACAGAAGTCCAAAGGAGGCATTTTGAAGGGGGGGGGTGCAGTCAAGTGAAACGGTTTTGGGTAGCCAAATTTTTAATTTTTTTGACGACCATTTAAAAGAAAAAGAGTGAGACATGCCGACCTGACTTTCTTTTAAACAAATCTTTTTTTCGAAGAGCAAAACACAGAGCTTACCGGTAGGTAATAACATTATGTTAATATCAAGGTAGCAATAGGAAAACAGACGTGTGAAGACTAATGGGTAACTCTATAGTCTGGTTTTAATGTCTTATGAATAATTGATGAGTTCGCATAAGTTTTCAACGTTTGAATAGTTTACCCCGTGGATTAAAACTAAAGTGGCCACTGGGCCCATGCAGCTGGGAAAAACGGAATTCTTTCGTATGTCCTAGCTGGGCCATACATACACTGAGTGTCGCATACAGTTACCTCCTTGCTTTGATGTTAGTCAAAGAGGAAGAGAAGATTAAATAGGCTGGCAATATGCAACCCAGCAGCCACTCAGCGGTGGTTAATTTTAGTATTTTAGTCGAAATTTGGTTTCAACGTTAATTAAAAGATATTCAATAGTGGTTGGTTAAACATGAACCTGAGTATATACATGTAAGTGCATCAAGTACTTCACAAATAAAAAAGGAACAGTAAAACAAGGTATAAGGTGACTGAGCAAAAATGTTCCTTTGCTTGGTGGTTGGATCATATATGAGAATTATCAAACGCAAGCCGAAATCCATTCATACCTTTAGCTTACGACCAAACTGATCATTATCATATATGATATAAGGTGATAATTTAACATTTAGGCTACAAGTATGAATTGTCACTTAATTAGTAATTAAAAAAAACATGCATGTAAATCATTGTGTAAAAACATACAACACGCGTTATTCACTCCTCATGTACATACACAAGTTTATAAAATTTTAATAATTGTATTTAAATTAATCTGCGTGTGTGATTTCTTTTCCAGTATTTTACGTCAGGGTGCCGACAGTGAAACCAAAACTGGTGAAAAACGACGGCATGAACGTATTGGGGTTGGTGGTGTTTTCCGTGGCTTTTGGCATCGTTATTAGCCGCTTGGGGCCACAGGGGAGGATACTGATGGAATTTTTCAATTCCGTGAATGATGCTGTCATGATGTTGATTACCGTTGTTATATGGTATGTGTTGTGTTGGTTTATGTAAGAGGCGAAGCTCGTATCGCCTGTTTATTTGTAATGGCGGCACTTCGTTCGTCAGTGATAACAGCCATGTTTTCTTTTTATCTGGAGAGTGGAAAGTTTGTCATGATTTGTTATGTAGGTGTCAAGGAAGCCGACTTCATGGGCAGAGTTTGATAAAGTCTCTCTCAACATTTTACTGTATAGTGCACTTTTAAAATATTTACGAATATTGATTGCTCCTCAGCAACTGTTTCATTTCTTTTATCTAAGTCATGAAAACTCTCACTGATGGAATTTTAGATATCTGAGACAAAAACACCAATTGCTTGGTTTTAATGGATATTAAGTGAAGATATTACTATGTTATATGATGGTTAGGTTTTAAATTAACTTCTTGGAAACTTAACAGTATGGTAGACGAAACGGCTTCTCTGATCAGGATAACCAGATCATACATGTACTGTACACTGTACTGAACATTACATATTACATTTTAATAGGATGTTTTACAACGTTAAAAGTTGCGGTTTTAACTCTTAAAAGAGTACAAATCTGAAGCAAACCATTGATCATTAAAAAAAAACTTAATCTGTGAATTTTGAATAGTAGCATATTAAAATCAAAGTCTGATATGTCGGTGTCGACCAAGAGATCAAAAACACCCTCAGTAACATAAAATAGCACTTACCGGTGTAATATAGGATTTATGTTATCTCCTTGTGTGTTATCAGACTTACTCTGTATCACTTCACAGTGGCATTGCTAATTCGTATTATTGCAGTTATTATGTAATAGAGAATATAATTCAATGGCACGGATAACTGTGTTACTTTGGAATTTGCACCCGTACAAAGAAGTTTTTTAATATTACTGTTTTGCAATATCTTATAATAAAGATGTGATATCTAAGAATATACTATAGTCAGGCCCGTAGCCAGAAATTTCAGAGGGGGGGGGGGG